TATCTCCACAATGCTTCTTTAGGTGGTTCGACATAATAGTACGGAGCAACTCTTGCTGCTAGGCCGGATGTTACAACGGAGTACGGACCTTGACTGGTGCTTTACTCGCCACCCTGCCGCTGCTGGTACCTTTTTTTCTTTGATGCTTCTTGGACTGAAGTTCTGCTCATGCCAAACACAAGGCAATATGCAGAAATTTAGATCTGGCCTCCAGCTGTTGGAAGATCGAATATACAGGTTACATTTGCACCATACATTATGTTACACTTTCTTCATGGACATCTCTTACAATATAGATTTGGTGGCACACATTTGATTTATTTTGTTTTCTTTCTTTTATTGGCTATGTACTAAATATTTATACCAACACATAGGATTTAACATGAAATGCCTTTGCACAACATATTGATCTTCCTGGACTTGTGTCTGCTATTTTGATAGCTATATCATAGGTTGAGAATAAAGTGGAAGTAGTTATATTTTAAGCTTTATGTTATTGTAGCCATCCAACATGGGCTTCCCCGGAGTTTTCAATTTACTTAAATAGTGTTGCTTGGGTCAATGTTAATATCTCTGAATTTCTTTTGTTTCACTTTTGTGCCCGTCAATAATAAATTATGTCTTTTCTACTTCTTCCAGGACTTCTTTAGGCTGGTTTGCTCATCAGCCAGAGTGGTATGATGTAAATATCCCGAACTTTTGTCAGAGCGAGGCACTATCTGTTTCAGTTTTTGTTCACTTTTTATCGAATGAGCTATCAGATTTAAGTCAATCTGATTCCAAAGGAAAGCCTCGTGAAAGTGGGCACTTGATGGATGTGGTACGATAACCATCTAGATTCTTTTTACTATCACCCGGCACGTTATTTACTGCAAATCATGATATTTATTTGAGCTGCATGGTTACAGACTGATCAATATCATCCTGTTTGGGGTGAGATGGACAACTACACTGTGGGAAAAGAAAAAAGAAAGCAGCTTCTTCTAATGCTCTGCCAACATGAAGCTGATAGGCTTGACGTTTGGGCACAACCTATTAGTTCAAAGTAAAACTTGTTCTCTTTTCACTTCTCGTTAGTGTTCTTTGACTAAAATTGTTGATATTCATTATTCCAAGGGTCAATGTATGTACAGGGACAGTCCATATTCGAGGCTGAAAATAAGCTCTGAAAAATGGACTGAACATGCTAAAACCGCCTTTGCAGTGGATCCTCGCATTGCTTTATCAGTCGCCTCAAGATTTCCGGCAAATGCTGCTGTGAAATCTGAAGTCACTCAGCTGGTTCAGGTATGGTTTTACAGGGGTTTTTTCCTCTAAGACTGTAAAAAGACAGATTTTTTTGTACTTTTTTGTTTTGAGATGGATATATACTGTACCTATGGTATTAAGTTTTTTAAAAGCTGGTGTCTCAGCTTCCCAAAAACCAGTGAGGCATGATGCAAATGAGAAAAAAGTTTGCCATGGTACATATAGTTGAATAATTTTCTAGAAGAGACTAAAAGTTTTTTCGACCAAAAAAAAAAAAAAAGAGACTAAAAGTTTATGTTGAGAATCTCAACACATTGCTAGGATTGTACATGCTTTTGACCACTTGGTTTATAAAAAATGCAATCTGATGCCATCACTATAATTTTTTTTCATTGTTTGACTGATGCTAAATGACTGCTTTTTTGTTGGTATTCTTTCTTGCAGACACATATAGTGGATCTTCGTACGATTCCTGAAGCATTGCCGTATTTTGTCACACCCAAAAATATTGAAGACAACTCAGTGCTGTTGCAGCAGTTACCACACTGGGCTGCTTGTTCAATTACACAGGCTCTTGAGTTCCTCACTCCTGCTTATAAGGGACATCCACGTGTCATGGCATATGTCCTAAGAGTTCTAGAGTCCTACCCTCCTGAGCGAGTTACTTTCTTCATGCCGCAGTTGGTGCAGTCTCTACGCTATGATGACGGGGTAAGTGTTGTCATGAACA